GGGTGGGTGCAGGATGAGGTGGGCGGGGTAGGGAGCTCGTCTTATCGTTCAATTAGAGTTCACGGGGCCGTTCTCAACGCAAAACGCGATTCAAAACGAAGAGAGCGTGGGACTCCTGCAGCCCGCAGCACCCTCGCCCTTTCTTTCCTGTCAAACAAATCTAAACGTTTGGACGTTGCCATGGCGAGGAGCCCCAATTATCTGCGCGAAGCTTTTCAGCGAAGACGCGGGGTGGTGATAAGGGAGGGGGGGTGGTGGGGGCGGTGAGTGGAACGGTGGGGGGGGGGGGGGGGCTGCTTCTGGGGGCCACGGGAGAAAGAAACCCAAACAGAGGCACGCGAGAGACGAGCGGCGCGCAGGAGGCGCGCCGCTCGTCACCACCCGCGCGCCCCACGGGGATGCGGTGGGACGTCACGTGATGTCACGAGATGTCGATGCGTGGCGATGGGATGCCACGCTACTGATGTCGCGACGAAGCGAGTTGGGCTCGAGCTCGCGTCGCCGGTGTGAGGGTTTGAGGGCGATCGTCCTTGAGCACGACAGGGAGTGTGGCGTGGTGTTGGCGCGGTCTCTGTTTGCAGCGCGCTGCGTCTGAGGTGGCTGCGCGAGCGGCGAGCGCTCAGCAAGGCCGCGTGGATGCCGCGTGCATCCACGTGTTCATTGCGAGTGCCGCGTGAAGCCCGTGTGAGAGACGAGTGCGAGCGTTGTGTGTGGGCGAGCTGAACGGGGACGTCCACAGGTTTCGTGGAGGCTGCGTGGCAGAATGCCACGTGGAGTCCCCTTATTCCACCATCCACAGGTTCGTTATAGGGCGCTCTTTCGTGTGAGGTTCGACGAAAATACCCCCTTTTGCCACCCTCCTCCGCTTTGGGCAGCTTTGGTTGTGAATTCTGAGTTGCGAGCGTGCGTGAATTATGTGTGAGTGCTGTGTGTGAGCGCTGCGCGCTGCGCGCGACCGCTTCGCGTGAGCGCTGTGTGAGTGTGAGTGCTACGTGTGTGTGAGTGCTGTGTGTGTGTGAGCGCTGTGTGTGAGTGCTGTGTGGGAGTGTTGCGCGTGAGCGCTGCGTGTGAAAGCTGTGTGTGTGAGTGCTGTGTGTGAGTGCTGTGTGTGAGAGTGCTGTGTGTGTGAGTGCTGTGTGCGAGTACTGTGTGTGAGTGCTGTGTGCGAGCGCTGCGTGTGTGTGAGCGTTGCGTGTGTGTGAGTGCTGTGAGTGAGCGCTGTGTGTGTGTGCTGTGTGTGAGCGCTGTGTGTAGACGCTGCGTGTGTGTGAGCGCTGTGTGTGAGCGCTGCGTGTGTGTGAGCGCTGTGTGTGAGCGCTGCGTGTGTGTGAGTGCTGTGTGTGAACGCTGCGTGTGTGTGAGTGCTGTGTGTGAGCGCTGCGTGTGAGCGTTGCGTGTGTGTGAGTGCTGTGTGTGCGCGCTGTGTGTGGACGCTGCGTGTGTGTGAGCGTTGCGTGTGTGTGAGTGCTGTGTGTGAGTGCTGTGTGGGAGCGCTGCGTGTGAGTGTTGCGTGTGTGTGAGTGCTGTGTGTGAGTGCTGTGTGTGAGTGTTGCGTGTGTGTGAGTGCTGCGTGTGTGAGTCCTGTGTGTGAGTGCTGTGTGTGAGCGCTGCGTGTGAGTGTTGCGTGTGTGTGAGTGCTGTGTGTGAGTGCTGCGTGTGTGTGAGTGCTGTGTGTGAGTGCTGTGTGTGAGTGCTGCGTGTGTGAGTGCTGTGTGTGAGTGCTGTGTGTGAGCGATGTGTGTGAGCGCTGCGTGGGAGTGTTGCGTGTGTGTGAGTGATGTGTGTGAGCGCTGTGTGTGTGTGAGTGCTGTGTGTGAGTGATGTGTGTGAGTGCTGTGTGTGTGTGCTGTGTGTGAGCGCTGCGTGTGAGTGTTGCGTGTGTGTGAGCGCTGTGTGTGAGCGATGTGTGTGAGCGCTGCGTGGGAGTGTTGCGCTGTGTGAGTGCTGTATGTGAGTGCTGTGTGTGTGAGTGCTGTGTGTGTGTGAGTGCTGTGTGTGTGTGAGTGCTTTGTGTGAGTGCTGTGTGTGTGTGAGTGCTGTGTGTGTGTGAGTGCTGTGTGTGAGCGCTGTGTGTGAGTGCTGTGTGTGTGTGAGTGCTGTGTGTGTGTGAGCGATGTGTGTGAGTGCTGTGTGTAAGCGCTGTATGTGTGTGAGTGCTGTGTGTGAGCGCTGTGTGTGTGTGAGTGCTGTGTGTGAGCGCTGTGTGTGTGTGAGTGCTGTGTGTGAGTGCTGTGTGTGTGTGAGTGCTGTGTGTGTGTGAGTGCTGTGTGTGAGTGCTGTGTGTGAGTGCTGTGTGTGTGTGAGCGCTGTGTGTGAACGCTGTGTGTGTGAGTGCTGTGTGTGTGTGGGTGCTGTGTGAGTGCTGTGTGTGAGTGCTGTGTGTGAGTGCTGTGTGTGAGTGCTGTGTGTGTGTGAGTGCTGTGTGTGAGTGCTGTGTGTGAGTGCTGTGTGTGAGTGCTGTGTGTGTGTGAGTGCTGTGTGTGAGTGCTGTGTGTGAGTGCTGTGTGTGAGTGCTGTGTGTGTGAGTGCTGTGTGTGTGAGTGCTGCGTGTGTGAGTGCTGTGTGTGTGTGAGTGCTGTGTGTGAGTGCTGTGTGTGTGTGAGTGCTGTGTGTGAGTGCTGTGAGTGAGTGCTGTGTGTGTGTGAGTGCTGTGTGTGTGTGTGCTGTGTGTGTGTGAGTGCTGTGTGTGTGTGAGCGCTGTGTGTGAGTGCTGCGTGTGTGAGTGCTGTGTGTGTGTGAGTGCTGCGTGTGTGAGTGCTGTGTGTGTGTGAGTGCTGTGTGTGTGTGAGTGCTGTGTGTGAGTGCTGTGTGAGTGCTGTGTGTGTGTGAGCGCTGTGTGTGTGAGAGTGCTGTGTGTGTGTGCTGTGTGTGAGTGTGAGTGCTGTGTGTGAGTGCTGTGTGTGTGAGAGTGCTGTGTGTGTGAGTGCTGTGTGTGTGTGAGTGCTGTGTGTGTGAGTGCTGTGTGTGTGAGTGCTGTGTGTGTGCTGTGTGTGTGTGAGTGCTGTGTGTGTGTGGGTGCTGTGTGTGAGTGCTGTGTGTGAGTGCTGTGTGTGTGTGAGTGCTGTGTGTGAGTGCTGTGTGTGAGTGCTGTGTGTGTGTGTGAGTGCTGTGTGTGAGTGCTGTGTGTGTGAGTGCTGTGTGTGAGTGCTGTGTGTGTGTGAGTGCTGTGTGTGAGTGCTGTGTGTGTGTGAGTGCTGTGTGTGTGTGAGTGCTGTGTGTGTTAGTGCTGTGTGTGTGTGAGTGCTGTGTGTGAGTGCTGTGTGTGAGTGCTGTGTGTGTGTGTGAGTGCTGTGTGTGAGTGCTGTGTGTGTGTGAGTGCTGTGTGTGAGTGCTGTGTGTGTGTGAGTGCTGTGTGTGAGTGCTGTGTGTGTGTGAGTGCTGTGTGGTGTGTGAGTGCTGTGTGTGTGTGAGTGCTGTGTGTGTGTGAGTGCTGTGTGTGTGTGAGTGCTGTGTGTGTGTGAGTGCTGTGTGTGTGTGAGTGCTGTGTGTGTGTGAGTGCTGTGTGTGTGTGAGTGCTGTGTGTGAGTGCTGTGTGTGAGTGCTGTGTGTGAGTGCTGTGTGTGTGTGAGTGCTGTGTGTGTGTGAGTGCTGTGTGTGTGTGAGTGCTGTGTGTGTGTGAGTGCTGTGTGTGTGTGAGTGCTGTGTGTGAGTGATGTGTGTGAGTGCTGTGTGTGAGTGAGTGCTGTGTGTGTGTGAGTGCTGTGTGTGAGTGCTGTGTGTGAGTGCTGTGTGTGAGTGGTGTGTGTGTGTGAGTGCTGCGTGTGTGTGAGTGCTGTGTGTGAGTCCTGTGTGAGTGCTGTGTGTGTGTGAGTGCTGTGTGTGTGTGAGTGCTGTGTGTGAGTGCTGTGTGTGTGTGAGTGCTGTGTGTGTGTGAGTGATGTGTGTGTGTGAGTGCTGTGTGTGTGTGAGTGCTGTGTGTGTGTGAGCGCTGTGTGTGTGTGAGTGCTGTGTGTGTGTGAGTGCTGTGTGTGTGTGAGTGCTGTGTGTGTGTGAGTGCTGTGTGTGTGTGAGTGCTGTGTGTGTGTGAGTGCTGTGTGTGTGTGAGTGCTGCGTGTGTGTGAGTGCTGTGTGTGAGTCCTGTGTGAGTGCTGTGTGTGTGTGAGTGCTGTGTGTGTGTGAGTGCTGTGTGTGAGTGCTGTGTGTGTGTGAGTGCTGTGTGTGTGTGAGTGCTGTGTGTGTGTGAGTGCTGTGTGTGTGTGAGCGCTGTGTGTGTGTGAGTGCTGTGTGTGTGTGAGTGCTGTGTGTGTGTGAGTGCTGTGCGTGTGTGAGTGCTGTGTGTGTGTGAGTGCTGTGTGTGTGTGAGCGCTGCGTGGGAGGTCACCACGGACAGCGTGGCGCCGCTCAGCGCCCTGAGCCCCGAGTCACGAGACTCGGGGCTCGTGCAGCCGACAGTGGCCAGGACCAGACACCACCCATTACATAATCACAGCTCGCAAGCCACTACAGGACGACTGGATGCATAATCATCATCAGTTACATCACGCGACGCGCCACTTACAGACCGCACTGACAGACGACTCCTACCCTGTGAGATTTGAACCACTACAACACCGGCGGGGGGGAAGGGGGCTGGGGGAGGGGGATCCACCAATCCCCCATCCGCACGCTCCCTCTGCCTAGGACGAGTAATCGTCATGTAACGCGCATTCATCTATAAACAGCCTCGCTGGGTCTTGAGGCTTCTTTTGAGGAATTTGAGAGGGGCACGGCGTACCCGGAGAGAAACCGCAGGCATACGCTGGGATGGGACTTCGTAGAAGTTTCCGCAAGGCCGGTTCCCGAGCTGTACCTCACTCTCATTTACTGGCCACTTCGCAGCCCCAAACAGCTCTGCGCATTCTCAAACGTCGACGCAAACCACCAACCTTCGCCTCCAAAGGCGTCGGATCACAACACTCCCCTCCCGTTACACCAACCCCCACCTCCCCACACGCCACAGCTAATGTTGCTTCTCGCTGTGCCATGTCCACGCGCCGTCGTGACCCCGTGACCCCCGGCAGTGGAGGTTGGGCAGTGTCTGGTGGCGGCCGCGGACGCGGGGTGCGGCGCGTTCGCGTGCCTGGAGAACACCACGTGCGACGGCCCCGGCCTGCAGGCGCTCTGCGCCGAGCTGGTGCGACACGCGGACATGTACGACGTGCAGGTACCCCCCCCCCACACACCTCACCCTCCCCCCGCGACCTCCCTCTCTCCCCCACCCCAACCTCATCCGCAGCCCCCGCCACTTCCGAGCATTAGGTAGTCTCCGCAGGCACGGGGACGAAGCGCGTCCCTTCACAGGCACCCACCGAGTCACGCGGTCACCCATCGACTGTGCGCCCATCGAGTCGCCCGGCCACTCCTCCGCGATCGTCCACCCATCGACTCACTGCGCCTCTGATCGCTGCAGCTCTGGCGGCCACCGAAGATCCCACGGCGTTCCCAGTGGCTGCCCACGCAGGCCCCCCCCCCCCCCTTCAGCGGTCAACCTTGGCGAGCGTCGTTGTTTCGATCCATAGCGAAGTTCACGCGACGCCGGCTGCCGAGCGATCGAACCCGGGTGCCCTCGGAGCCACGCAATTAGAGCGCGCGGAGTCCCTGCTGCTCTTGACCCCATGTGGACGGCGCGGCTGACCCCTTTATGTTGAAGACCCCCGTGCGAAAACTGACGCCACTCCGGCCCGCTCCAGGCCACGCAGGCACCCCCGCGACACCGCGTGTTGTCGGCTCTTCTCTGCACGAGGCGTGTTGCGCTCTGGTGTGGGTTGCTGAAATGTTTCACTGATTTGGAAAACACGGAAACAGACCTTCCCGCACCCCCACGCTCACCCCCTGCCTCCCCCGTTCCTCCCACCTATGACCGCACGGCACGGTCAACACAGAGCACAGAGCCAAATAGCTCCACCGGCTAACGTGAAACGCACCCAGCCAACACATAGTATAGCCAGCCAAAGCAGAGAGCAGCCAGCCAACGCGTAGTATAGACAGCCAACACATATCACAGCCAGCATACAATATACACACACAGTCAACACATAGCAGAATCAGCATAAAACACACAGCCAACGCGTAGTATAGACAGCCAACGCATAGTATAGACAGCCAACGCATATCACAGCCAGCATACAATATACACACACAGTCAACACATAGCAAAATCAGCATAAAACACACAGCCAACACATAGTATAGACAGCCAACGTATAGTATAGACAGCCAACGCATACCACAGCCAGCATATAAGACTCACAGCCCTCCTCGCTGCAGAAATGTCCTCCTGCCTCCCGCATGCGCGGCTCTCTAATCCGGACCGTGACGCAGCGGTCGGGATCGCGCGACTCCTTTACCAGCGCGACTCAGGTCACATCGACGAAACGATGATGAATCAATAAAACGCTCATGGATCAATAAGACCCCCATGGACCAATACGACGATCATGGAGGCGATCATTCTGCAGTGGTAGAGCCGTAATCGCTGCCGAGATGCCCAGAGAGGTGTGTGTGTGTGTGAGCGTGTGTGTTGGGATGTTTAGAGTTTCTTTTTTGTATCTCGCAAACTATTTCCCGAGTGAAACCCGAACCCAGCCGCTCTCATAGCGCCAGTTGGCAGCAGCAGCAGTCGCCACAACTCTCAGCACATCCATCGCCACCCCACAGGCCGTGTCGGGGACAGGCGCGGGTGGGGGTGTGATCTAACGTGCCTCGCCTCATTCACTGCTTCGCTCGTGTCATTCGTGATTCCCGGATCGGCAATAGGCGTGGAGGGGCGGGGGTAGCAATTTCAACTCATTCACTCAAATGGATCGTGTTCCGTCCGGTGCTTGGTGGCAGCTGCTTAGGGAGGAATGCGTTCGTTGATCGACTGATAATATCGCTTGACGAAGAAGCGCCATGCGCCAAAAACGTCGCCTTTTACACACCGCCGGTTAGCACGGTTGGCTATGTACGGTGCGAAAGAAGTTCAACACACATACATGTATCGCTTTACGTGTATGTATGCCACTACGTGTAATGTTATTGAGGGACTGATTGTGTGTTGTTGTCTTGCTGTGGTCTGGAACTGTTGTTGTTGATGTTGTTGTTTTGCTGCCTTGTCCAAGTTGGAATGTATTGTTGAAAAACCGGCAGGAATTGATAGACTTTTGCAAATTGGACTTATGTACTTTATTTTATTAACGTTTTTATTTTTAGTGATTTGTTTTATACCTTCCAACTGTTTGTTGTTGTGGCTTTCTGACCCGCCGCTACTGGACGTCTGTGAAATAGACCTTCATAGCTCATCGGATTTCTCCTGCGGTATGAATAGACATTCGGATACCGATTGAAATTTTGAACAATGAAACGAACGGTTGCCCGAGTGCTCGTCTCAACCCCTCGCCACCCCACCACGCCCCACCCCTCCGCCACGCAGGGGAAGTCTTTCATCAAGGAGGCTCTGAAGTGCATGGCTCAAGGGCTGCGCGGCCGCTTCAACTGCAACCAGCGCAAGTGCTCGGCGCTCAGCGAGCTGTCCCTGCAGCTGCAGCGGGAGTGCTACCACAGACACGAGCTGTGCGCCGCCGCGAGGCCCAACGCCGAGGCCATGGCCCTGTCCGTGCCGCCCCCCACCGCGCTCCCCAAGGGGTAAGTGAACCCTGGGGAGAGGAGCTGGGGGGGTAGAGATGGGGGGGGTAGAGATGGGGGGGGGGGGAGAACACGCTGCACGTCTTCTTCTCTTCCTCCGTGTCGGCGCGTTGCTGAGAGATGCCAACGATTTGTGGAAGAGCGACGCAGGCGACACGTCGATGGGCAGGTCCTTGTAGCCGTGCGACGCCGCTGGCTGAGAGCTGCTGGGCCGATGCCTCTGGCGCTGTCCTGGCGGGCGGTCAGCAGGTGACCCGCGCCTGCCCATTGCTCGCTCCGCTCCGCAGTCGCGGGCAGTGGGCCGTCTTTTGTCTTCTACTTGTGGTTGGATCGTGAATATACAATTGCAATTTGTGCAATCGCTCTCTAGAAGAGAAACACACAAAGAGAGAGAGAGCGAATCAGGGGAATCACAGACTACCGGGACGGTAGCCAGGCAGTGAGGGAGTCGGCGCCAAATATCACCCTCCAGAGCTCTGCCGAACTCTATTTATTGCGATGTTAATGGCCGATGAACCAGTGTTCATGTTCGTGTAGAACATGAACCAGTGTTCATGTTCGTGTAGAACATGAACCAGTGTTCATGTTCGTGTAGAACATGAACCAGTGTTCATGTTCGTGTCGAGATGAGCGAATCCATCCGTGCAATGTTTGAACGCGACGCCGCGGTCCACAGATTGTGAGGAAGTCAAAAGCCACCAAAGGGTTCTGTTGGTAAGGGGGTCAGTGAAGCGGGTAAATTAACCGAGAGCATGAAGGCAGTGGGACGCGGGGGGTGTGATTGTGAGTGGTGTGGGGCACGGTGTGATTGTGAGTGGTGTGGGGCACGGTGTGATTGTGAGTGGTGGGGGGCACGGTGTGATTGTGAGTGGTGGGGGGCACGGTGTGATTGTGAGTGGTGGGGGGCACGGTGTGGTTGTGAGTGGTGGGGGGCACGGTGTGGTTGTGAGTGGTGGGGGGCACGGTGTGGTTGTGAGTGGTGGGGGGCACGGTGTGGTTGTGAGTGGAGGGGGGCACGGTGTGGTTGTGAGTGGTGGGGGGCACGGTGTGATTGTGAGTGGAGGGGGGCACGGTGTGATTGTGAGTGGAGGGGGGCACGGTGTGAGTGGTGGGGGGCACGGTGTGATTGTGAGTGGTGGGGGGCACGGTGTGGTTGTGAGTGGTGGGGGGCACGGTGTGGTTGTGAGTGGTGGAGGGCACGGTGTGAGTGGTGGGGGGCACGGTATGAGTGGTGGGGGGCACGGTGTGATGCTTGTCCCTCTTCCCCCGCCCCTCGCAGCCCCTACCTGGAGCTGCTGCGTGCGCTCTTCTCGTGCGACAACGCCACCTCGGCCGCCGTGCGCCGCGCCCTCTCGGCGCGTCTCGGCAAGGCGCACGCCTCTGCCCTGGCGCAGATGCTGGGGGGCAGCGCCCCGCGACGACAACACCCGGGCAAGCCCGCTCCGGGAGAGGCGAGCGAGGGGGGCAGGGAGGGGGCCAAGGAGGGGGGGAAAGAGGGAAGCAGGGATGGTGGAAGGGAGGGGGGTAAGGAGGGGGGGAAAGACGGAGGACGCAGAGGAGCGTCAGGCGCCCATCACCCAAAATCTGGCAAAAGCTCCCAGTAGAGAAGTCCCCCCCACCCACCCCGCTCATCACCTCCCACGCCCCCCCCCCACCCCACGTTTCTCGGTCCATTCGACCAGGATCTATGCCAGGGTTTCCCAAATTCTAAACAAAGTCCTCGCGACCCACCGCGGTGTGGTTTTCCGTGCGTACCGAATACCGGCGAATGTGCACGCTACACGCGCCTGGTGATTGGTCAACGTGGCGACATGCACGCACTGTGCTGTGGGCAGTGAGGATCGGGTGGCAGGGGGAGGGAGGATTTTGGAAGCCCTGGGATGTGCCAAACCAACCCGACCGAGGAGACGGATTCATCGGCGTGTGAACAAGCATGCGCAATCCTCCAGATCGCGCATGCGCCACACCGCGCCCCCCCCCCCCCCCCCCCGCTCGATCTCATGGCGACGGGAACACAGCTTCTCACAGCGGGGCCCGATCAGTGAACCACGCGCGGTCACCTCGAGCCAAGAGTTGGGTTTGGCGAGTGATGGGTCCCCAAGAGATGTTGAGAGCACCGATTAAAATGAAAACCCAATACTTAACCCTAATCTGAACACAAAGAAATTACGAGAAATTTTTCTTAGCCCATCGGTCACAGGTGAGATGACAAATGTTCCCGATAATCATATCCCATCGGTATTAAGTAGCCAATGAAACGTAACTTCACTCGAATACGATCATTGGGGACGATAACTTACGATAACAGCACGTACGCACACTATATATATAGTATATATACGCAAATACATCACCAGCTTTGGCGATGCAGATGTTTGGGATTTTGAAATCGTACGCTATGTAAGAGCGTACGCCACACTTACGTGATGCTGCTATAGAGGATCGTAGACTGTAGATTTACAAAAAGCTGCTATCTCTCTCTCTCTATGGAAGTAGGGGAAGAAACAGAGGAAGTAACGTGTACCGCGATGCGGAGACGCACCGTGACACTGGGACACGGAATCATTGACCCACTGTTTATCGAGGTCGCCACTTCGCGCGACCTCGACACCAACTCTACCTCGGCGCGACGGGAGCGACGACGGGAGCCCCCCCCCTCCTCCTCACGTGTGGGGGGATGGGGGGCGGAAAACTGAGAATTTTCTTTTGTTTCAGCCGCCGATATTTGATGAAAAAACGCGGCCGAACCAAAAAAAAAAATCTAAAATCCGCGGAGATATTTTCCCCTTCCAAACTCGGCGTTCCCGCAGGCGCGCGCTACGCACGGAGCCACACGCGCGGCGTAGGCGCCGTCTCCCTCCGGGGGGTTCTCGGCGTGGTCAAAGTTCGACACCAAGGAGCGGTGTGTTGCCTGTGTTTGTTTGTCGTTGTTGTTGTTGTGTGTGGAGCTCACTTCCCCGAGCCTCATTCACACTTTGAAACGCGTGGGCCTCGCTGGCGGTTTGTTTTCGTTGTTAGGAATTGAATCTCGTGCAGACTTTACGTTCAAATGCGGACGAAAAGAGACGTTTAACCTCAACCACGCGTTTCGGGCCACATACCACCGCACACCCTCATCATCATCACCACCAACAGTATGCACACACACGCACACACACGCACGTACGCAATCATGACCCGATCAAGTGATGGCGCCAGCAGCAGGGAGGGGGGTTGACTCGCACGCCGAACCACCTCGAGTGGGTCAGTCGCCAATGGTATCGACCCAAAGTCGTCGTGGGCCACCCCCTTACCTCGGTCGACTCAGCCACAGGGTGAGTGCCCTGTGGCTGAGTCGACCTAGGCGTCAGCTCCTCGTGCGTCGTGCCGACCTCAACAGCTGCTCGCTCACAACAATCGTGTTCCCCTTTTCCACGAGGAAGCCTCTCCAGGCGGATATCTCTTGCGCGTGAGTTGATTTCAATCAGAGGCAGGCGCCACCGACCGCGCGCTTCTGTACAACAGCGCCGCCCAGAGCCTCTCCGCCGTCATCGCTTCTGCGCGTCCTCTGGCTCCGCGGCCAGGGGGAGGCGCTCGCAGTCGTCCCAACTCGTGGATGTGGCCCCACTGATGGCGGTGGGGGGTGGGAGGGGGGGACAATGGACAATTGACCCCCCCCCCCGACACGCGCCCGTTCTCATCACATCCCGGAAGCTAAGCAGGGCTGAGCCTGCATGCTGCTCGGATGGGAAACCACCGCGCGCAGCACTCAGGGCAGCAGAGAGGGGGGAGCAGCGAGAGACATGACCGCCCTGCACCCCCCCCCGCCGCCTCGCTAGTGCGGAACACAAAGAGAGAGAGGATGAGTCGACGGGGAGCGACTGCGTGGGGTGAGATCCGAGCGGAACAGCACGAGCGGGGATTGTGTTACGGTCAACAACAAGCACAACAACAACAACCGAACTGGTGGGCATGAATCAGATTCATTTAGCTTGGACAGGTCAGCCGAGTTCACTGGAAGCCTAACGACTCTAGAGTCGCGCGAGAGGAACACAGCCACGGAGAACTGTGCAGAGACGACACAGGCGGGCGGGCGTCCACCCCACGCAGCCCCTCCCAATGCTCGCAGCCCGGACTCCCATCGCCTTGCTCGTGACCCCACCTCGACTCACGCGATCTCACCAGAAACTCCCCTTATTCATGGCTCCACCTCGACTCACACGATCTCACTAGAAACTCACCTTACTCGTGACCCCACCTCGACTCACACGATCTCACCAGAAACTCACCTTACTCGTGACCCCACCTCGACTCACACGATCTCACCAGAAACTCACCTTACTCGTGACCCCACCTCGACTCACACGATCTCACCAGACACTCACCTTACTCGTGACCCCACCTCGACTCACGCGATCTCACCAGAAACTCCCCTTACTCGTGACCCCACCTCGACTCACGCGATCTCACCAGACACTCACCTTACTCGTGACCCCACCTCGACTCACGCGATCTCACCAGAAACTCCCCTTATTCATGGCTCCACCTCGACTCACACGATCTCACCAGACACTCACCTTATTCATGGCTCCACCTCGACTCACACGATCTCACCAGACACTCACCTTACTCGTGACCCCACCTCGACTCACACGATCTCACCAGAAACTCCCATTATTCATGGCTCCACCTCGACTCACACGATCTCACCAGACACTCACCTTACTCGTGACCCCACCTCGACTCACACGATCTCACCAGAAACTCCCATTATTCATGGCTCCACCTCGACTCACACGATCTCACCAGAAACTCCTCTTATTCATGGCTCCACCTCGACTCACGCGATCTCACCAGAAACTCCCCTTATTCATGGCTCCACCTCGACTCACACGATCTCACCAGAAACTCACCTTATTCATGGCTCCACCTCGACTCACGCGATCTCACCAGAAACTCCCCTTATTCATGGCTCCACCTCGACTCACGCGATCTCACCAGACACTCACCTTACTCGTGACCCCACCTCGACTCACGCGATCTCACCAGAAACTCCCCTTATTCATGGCTCCACCTCGACTCACACGATCTCACCAGACACTCACCTTATTCATGGCTCCACCTCGACTCACACGATCTCACCAGACACTCACCTTACTCGTGACCCCACCTCGACTCACGCGATCTCACCAGAAACTCCCATTATTCATGGCTCCACCTCGACTCACACGATCTCACCAGACACTCACCTTACTCGTGACCCCACCTCGACTCACACGATCTCACCAGAAACTCACCTTATTCATGGCTCCACCTCGACTCACACGATCTCACCAGAAACTCCCCTTATTCATGGCTCCATCTCGACTCACGCGATCTCACCAGAAACTCTCCTTATTCATGGCTCCACCTCGACTCACGCGATCTCACCAGACACTCACCTTACTCGTGACCCCACCTCGACTCACGCGATCTCACCAGAAACTCCCCTTATTCATGGCTCCACCTCGACTCACACGATCTCACCAGACACTCACCTTATTCATGGCTCCACCTCGACTCACGCGATCTCACCAGAAACTCCCCTTATTCATGGCTCCACCTCGACTCACACAATCTCACCAGACACTCACCTTACTCGTGACCCCACCTCGACTCACACGATCTCACCAGAAACTCACCTTATTCATGGCTCCACCTCGACTCACACGATCTCACCAGAAACTCACCTTGTTCATGGCTCCACCTCGACTCACACGATCTCACCAAAAACTCACCTTATTCATGGCTCCACCTCGACTCACACGATCTCACTAGAAACTCACCTTATTCATGGCTCCACCTCGACTCACACGATCTCACCAGAAACTCACCTTACTCGTGACCCCACCTCGACTCACACGATCTCACCAAAAACTCACCTTATTCATGGCTCCACCTCGACTCACACGATCTCACCAGACACTCACCTTATTCATGGCTCCACCTCGACTCACACGATCTCACCAGACACTCACCTTACTCGTGACCCCACCTCGACTCACGCGATCTCACCAGAAACTCCCATTATTCATGGCTCCACCTCGACTCACACGATCTCACCAGACACTCACCTTACTCGTGACCCCACCTCGACTCACACGATCTCACCAGAAACTCACCTTATTCATGGCTCCACCTCGACTCACACGATCTCACCAGAAACTCCCCTTATTCATGGCTCCACCTCGACTCACGCGATCTCACCAGAAACTCCCCTTATTCATGGCTCCACCTCGACTCACACGATCTCACCAGAAACTCACCTTATTCATGGCTCCACCTCGACTCACGCGATCTCACCAGAAACTCCCCTTATTCATGGCTCCACCTCGACTCACACAATCTCACCAGACACTCACCTTACTCGTGACCCCACCTCGACTCACACGATCTCACCAGAAACTCACCTTATTCATGGCTCCACCTCGACTCACACGATCTCACCAGAAACTCACCTTATTCATGGCTCCACCTCGACTCACACGATCTCACCAAAAACTCACCTTATTCATGGCTCCACCTCGACTCACACGATCTCACTAGAAACTCACCTTATTCATGGCTCCACCTCGACTCACACGATCTCACCAGAAACTCACCTTACTCGTGACCCCACCTCGACTCACACGATCTCACCAAAAACTCACCTTATTCATGGCTCCACCTCGACTCACACGATCTCACTAGAAACTCACCTTATTCATGGCTCCACCTCGACTTACACGACCTCACCAGAAACTCACCTTATTCATGGCTCCACCTCGACTCACACGATCTCACCAGAAACTCCCCTTATTCATGGCTACACCTCGACTCACGCGAGCTCACCAGACACTCACCTTACTCGTGACCAGAACCCGGCAACTGCCCAATGCCCTTACCATGACCATACCCCCAATCCAATCTCCAGCGTTTCGCCCGGTTTCAACCCCCCCTCCCCCCGCTGCACCCATGGCACACCTTCCATCAGGAGATCCCCCTCCGGATCAAATACCGTAGCAGAGCCAACGTCGTGGGAACATTTGAGAGCATTAAAAAAACAGCGGTGAAAGACAACGTTTGTTTGTCAACGACAACAAGAGCAAGGCCGAGTTCGATGCCGTGGTCAAGGTGTTGTGTGTCAATTTAAAAAAACACGAAGGGATGGCGCGGAGCCGAACTTAATCCGCCCAATCAGCACGGTGGGTGGCGTAACCAGAGCGGAAGAAGACCTCCCCGTTCATCCTGGAGGGGGGGGGGTTGCCTTAGGGGCTTGGGGGGATTCAACCGTGAAACCCCGGGGCCATTGAATTCACGATTGTTCGCGTGTCCACGTTCCGTGGTGGTCCCAGCGCCTCCGCCACACAAACTCAGGTATCGCCGACGCGCTCTCGGCGTCCGAGTTGACGCGCAGACGGCGCCCAGGAGCGGTCGCGACGCGGTGGGGAGCGCGCGCGACGGACGGTCCCGAGCCAGCCGGGCGCCGTGCCCCGCGCGCGGCTCTCTCGCGTTTTGTACGAAATCTGCGAGCCACGCGCTCCAGACACAGCCGCCGCATCTATTTATGTTATTTATTGCGCTTCTCGTGCTACTGCCACGGCTCTCGTCGCTATCGTTGCTGCTACACGGCCACGTTACGTCGCAGTATTCGCTGGTGGCCCGTTTTGCCAGAGGAGGGCAACATTCACTGGGTTCACAATCAGTTTTTTTTTTGTGGGGGGAGGTTATTGGAATAAGTGTTTATTAGTGTTTATTAGAGTAAAAATAAAAGTTTGGAAATCGAAAAAAAAAATTCTACCCAAATGAATAAGAAATGTCCATATTAAGAGCAAGACAAATAATGGCACATTCTGTTGTTTCTTATTTGTCCCCAACTTGATCTCAATTGTGGTGCCGTCAGTGCCGCGTGACGCGAAGCAGGGCAGCCCCACGTGGTAGAGGACGGCGCACGGAAGCGGACCCCACGGAGCTCCCTCTGAGTTCCCTCGAGAGGTGACCTGCGGTCCACTTTCCCACCCGGCTTGCCACTGAGGTTAATGTTGGTCGCATCACATTAAACCCAACGTCTTCAATTACATGAGCTAGAATGCAGACAAATGTATCGGCAGAACCAATTTGTAATGTGCTTATTTTACGTGCAGTCATTGGCCGCAGAGCTGAGACCATCAAACCTCTTATGCACCCAGTTTAAGCACGGGCGACTGACTACTTGGATTCGAGTTCAGGATCTCGCTCAGTGCTCTGACCTGCTAGCCCACTCGGCCACCGAAGACGTGAACGACCCTAACCGATTGCTTGTGCGTGCACACGAACGCCCGAGGGCCATCCGTCCGGCGCGCTTTGTGAACCCAGCGAATGACCGTACACAACATCACATTTCCTTCCTCGCGCTGCAGCGAGAAACACCGCTGCTCTGATAAAAACAAACCACTGCAGCAGCCACATCACGATGGGCTTTAGGGCTCAAGGGGTGGTACTGCCACTGGGCGTGCGTGACGTGCCCACACGCGTGGTAAGGGAGGGAGCACGGGGAAGAATGTGATCAGCAGGAGCCAGGGATACCCCTGGCTCGCCCCGTGCGCGTACCGATTGCTGCTCTGGCCCACGGACTCAGTAACTCGGCGGGCGCCTCGTACACGTGTGCTCTGTGCTCTGCGTGTGCGTGTGTTCGATTTGTCCCGATTCGCACTGGCGGGTCGCGCTTATGGCTCTCCACCGGCTGCTACGGAGCGCGGCGACTCGTCCAGCCTCGCCCGCCCGCGTGGCGGCTGCCACCCGGAGCTCGCTGCTTTATCCGTGACCGAGTCGGCCTCGCACGGAGCCGCCGTGATCGACTTTAATACGACG